CCAGAAACTCCATTCCCGTGGTCCACAGTTTTGAATGCACGGACCATTGTAGGCCACTCGTGCTCTTCGAGTTCCCAGAATTCCATTCCCGGGCCACATTTTGGATGCCCGAGCCAACTGTAGGCCACTTCCTGGTCTTCGAGTTCCCAGAACTCCATTCCCGGGCCACATTTTGAATGCCCGGAGCCAACTGTAGGCCACTTCGTGGTCTTCGAGTACCCAGAACTCCATTCCCGGGCCACATTTTGAATGCCCGGAGCCAACTGTAGGCCACTTCGTGCTCTTCGAGTTCCCAGAACTCCATTCCCGTGCCACATTTTGAATGCCCGGAGCCAACTGTAGGCCACTTCGTGCTCTTCGAGTTCCCAGAAGTCCATTCCCGAGACTACAAGCTGATTGCTGATGCAGGCTGAGGCTGAGGCTGATGCAGGCTGAGGCTGAGGCAGGCTGAGGCTGAGGCTGAGGCTGAAGCAGGCTGAGGCTGAGGCTGAGGCAGGCTGAGGCTGAGGCAGGCTGAGGCTGAGGCTGAGGCAGGCTGAGGCTGAGGCTGTGACTGTGACTGCCGTTGCCACTGCGACTGTCATCGCGAATGCGACTGCGACTGCGAGAACAGGAGAATTCCACAACTGGATTCTCATCTGAATCTTAAGGGGAATGCTTCCATATATGCTTCTACACATCGCTGTTAGGTTGCTTTGCCGGGATAATTTTGTAAGGGATTCGTAAACAAGTGTTATGTTGGAACAGAAAATGTCACCGCATAGTGTTTTTTACAAGGGAACCGCAGGGGGGGGATACCGGCTTGGCTGGGATGGTATGAATTCATATTTAGGATGGACATGTGGTCATAATCATATGTGATTTACAGCACGCGCGGGGGAGCCGATAAGTCCGGGGGGGGGTAGAATCTATTACTCTTTTAGAAAGGAGAATTAATTTCTGTTCGCAATGAGTTGTCCACTCCACTGCTCGCGCAAACATCCCACCCACCCACCCGCAACTTGGTTTGCAAAATCTCTTAAGACCGTGACGGTGGGTACCACATGGCACTTGGCAACAACAGCGACGCCGACGACGACAGCGACAACGACGACGACGACAACGACTACGACGACACCGACGACGTCTCCAACGACTTCGACGACGCCGACAACGACGACGACGACGACGACACCGACGACGACGACGACGCCGACGCGACGACGACGACGATGACAACGACGACGACGATGACGACGCCGACGACGACGATACGACGACACCGACGACGACGACGACGTCAACGACGCCGACGACGACGACGACGACGACGGCGGCGACGACGACGACGGCGACTACGACGACGACGTCGACACGACGACGAACGACGCCGACGCCGACGACGACGACGAAGACGACGACGACGTCGCCAACGAAGACGACGACGAGGGAGGAGGAAGGACGACGACGGCGACAACGACGATAACGACGACAACGACGAGGGAGGAGGGAGGACGGCGACGACGCGAACGACGAAGAAGGAGGAAGGACGGCGACGCCGACGACGGCAACGACGAGGGATGAGGGAAGACGACGACGACGACGACGACGACGACGACGGCGACGAAATAGGAGGGACGACGACGAGACGCCGACGACGGACGACGACGACGACGAGGGAGGAGGAGGAAGGACGACC